GCAATTTTTTCCACAAAGAAATGTAAGAAGTTGTCGCACAGCTCAGTCGAGGCTTCCAGAGGTGATGGTTCAGGTTCAGTGAGGTGGAGAACAGAGTTTAGGGTGGAGAAGAGGACACGTGGGTTGTGAGAGTTTGAGGTAATTATATCAGAGAAGAATTTGGATTTAGCAGCTTTTACTGTTTTTTGATGAGCGCCAACTCTCTTTAAGTATTTGGAAAGAGACCTGCAGCCTGTCTTTCCTCCACTTTCGCTCCACCCTCCTACAGTACATTGCTGCCTAACGGCCTTGGTGACGTCACTCAGCCAAGGTTCTGCTCTGAGTTTTGATTTTTTGGTTTTAACAGATGCAACATGATCCAGAGTCTTTAAGCAGACAGAGTTGAACTGGGATGTCAGCTCCTCAGTGGTGGTGAGAAACACCGGGGCCTGAATTATCATTTCAGAGTTATAAACATCTGTGAAACGTGAGGCAGTGAAGTGGTTAATGGTCCGAGTCCTACGTGCAGGAATGCACGACTTAGGAGTTAGATGGGGGAGGGTGAACTCAAACCGGACTGGCATGTGGTCTGAAAAAACATGATCACCAATAACAAGATTATTAACAGTCATATCATGAGTTAAAACAAGGTCCAGTGTATGTCCACACTCTTGGGTGGGACCGTTTACATGCTGAGTTAAATTAAATGAGTCCAATAAATCTAAAAAGTCCTTAACCAAGGGCTTCTCAGGACAGCGCACGTGCAAATTAAAGTCCCCAATAATGAAAACATGATTATATTTTGGTGTGATTTCAGCCAAGAAGTCAGAAAACTCATTTATGAAATCCTTAGACCGAGGTGGATGGTAGAAAAGTGCAAATAAAGTCGGAGGTGAATGTCTGAGTTCAAAGACGCTCAGCTCAAAGCTGGCGCGGGAAACTGGGAAGGGCAGGTGTTTACAGTCAAAAGTTGATTTGAATATTGTTAATAATCCACCACCGCACCGGCCTGATGGCCGTGGGGCGTTAAAACACAGACAGTTCGGTGGTAGTAATTCCATCAAGGCGCTGGACTCACCCGGAGACATCCAAGTCTCTGTGATACACAGAAAGTCCAAATAATGCTCTTGAAAGTAGTCCCTGAGGATAAAAGTTTTTTGGCAACAGATCTTGCGTTGACCAAACACATCTGGATACTGTCCAAAGTGGAGCCAGCAGCGGTGGAGTTAGTGCGCGCTAATGGCCGCAGGTTTTCAATAACAGCCCCTCCAGGTCGGTCCGAGCTGCGCACCGGCTGACAACTCCCGCTGGTTACCTGGTCCGGGCACACAGGAGAGGAAGATGCAACGCGCAGAGCTTTCAGCTTCACCAGCTGACCAGCACGTTTTCCCCGGCGTCTGAAGCGAGACCTCCGGACAGGCAGGTGAGGAGCGCAGCGAAGGTAAGCTGGCACATCCGCCAGCAGGGGGGGAGGAGGGCGGGGGGTCCAAATAAGCGACTTCAGTGCCAGAAAAACGAAGATTCAAAAGTTGTTGTCTGTCATACACCAGCAGAGAGTTGATGTCACAGATGTGAAATGCAAAAAACAAAAATAATCCGAACACCATCAGCAGAGGTGGATTGCAAGCCATGTACACGGGCGCCATCTTACCTACCTCCATCTTCCTATTATTAGCATATTCCTTATTAGCGTATGTTTCACTACTGTGGACATCTGCTGGTGTTTAGTGACTGTAAGAACAGTCAGATGTTAGATACAGAGTCAGGATGTGCAATATGGCATAGAATTCATATCCCGGCGATATTGTCTACAGTGATGAGAAGCTACACGAAGCTACACGCTAATTACGTCAGTTTTTTTTTTTTGCCGGCGTTCTGTCCGTTCAGCATACATGTGATGGTATCATACATTTAGTTAATACGCATGCATGCACATGCACATTTTGCAATAAGCCTGTGACGTTCAGAGGAGCCATATGATCATCCTACACTGCAAGATACAACAAAAAGTAAGTTAGTAAATTGTTTTGGTGCAAAGTACACGTGGTATTATTGTGTATTTACACAATTTACAGTGTGCATTGCATTTCCTGAACCGTAAGTAAATCCTTTTGGTGACGCTTTGTGTGTAATATGTGCACGACTTCAGTTGGAGTGAAAACTCTGTTTATGTGTGAACAGTGCAAGTGAAGTTAGTCCGAGCTTTGTGAATTTAAACAATATAAGGACAATATAATCATTCTGCTGCCTTAACTGTTAAGTCAGGGTGTCATACAGCTGTTAAACTGCTAAGTTAGGG